GGCTGTATTTGTGTCTGCCGTGGACTTTAAGCAAACCCTTCTCCGCGCCCGCTCCCCCTTTGCGTTTTCCTTTGCTGATAGACCAGGAATGATACCTGTTACCTACCTCCACGCGGTGTCGTGGACCTCAGTGCCTATGCAATGCTTTGAACTCCTGGGGTGAGAAGTGCAGTATAAATGTTGAAGTACACTGTTAACAAATGTGAAAATATTTTTGTTGTAAAATGATGTGTTTTAGCACTGTATGAATGTTAAAATACAGAATTGATCCTCCTAGCAGTCTTCTGCAATTGTGTTTGTGCTTTGCACTTGCCTGTGCTGCCATGCTGGGTCCCCCACAGCCCCATTCCCGTTCCTCCTATGCTCTTTGAAGAGCACAGACTTTGGCGATCTGCTCCAAAAGGAGAAAATGGATGTGTCTGGCGAGGAGAAGGTGTTGGTAAGGCAGGAGGTGGCTGCTCTGCAAGGCTGCCTTCGCTGCTGGGGCAGAGCGTTTTCTGCCCGGGGAAGTGCAGCAGGGTGCAGCTGGGCAGGGCAGCATGGTTTGTGGGTGTGCTGCTGGAGACTGCGAGCTTTGCTTTGATTCCACCCCCCCCCTCCCCATGGGCTTTTTTTTTTTCTTTTAATCCTCTTTAAAAACTGTCAGGATAAAGAACTATCTTCCTTGGCTGCTTGCAAGAATCGACACCTTTTTGAGTCGAGTCTCAAACGCTTAAGTACAGCCGTGGCTTTCTGCGGACACCGGAGCTTTGACCGTGGCCTCTGGCACATTTTGTGCTCTGCAGCCAGTTTGCTTTGGCAAAAGCTGGGAATTCAACTATTGCAAGCAGGTGCGTTAGAGTTGGGTTAGTCCTCTGCATCGCAGCACTGGTGCTTTTAGCTTTGCCGCCTTCGCTGGCTGCGGACCCTCGCGTTCACCCCATTCTCCCGCAAACGCAGCGTCGTTCTTGTTTAAGGAAAGACGCACGGGCAAACCTGCCGTGTTTGGGCGCAGGTGAATGCCCTCAGTTGGGTTTACAGCAGGCTTGTTTCAATTTTCCGTAGGGTTTAAGGTAAACCACTTTCAAAGCAAAATTTAGTGCCCGCGGGAGGAGATTGCAGCGGCTGGACTAAAACGCTGCTAATTGGCACATCAGCACACCCTGGCCCGTCAGGCTGTCTGCAGCTGTGTGGTGAGCTCCTCTAGCACGGATCCTTCCCATAGGAGAGGTGCTGCCCTGTACCGGCACGTGAGCCGTGGGGTTGGGGACTCGGAGCACCCCTGCCTCACGGCACTGCCCCGTGCATGGCTTTTTCGGCAGTTGGGTCGGACCCAACTTGGGGAAGCCAAGTTGGGGATGCCAACTTGCTGCTGTGTCTCTGCCTTGGCGCTGCGAGTCTGGTCAGGCTTTAGCATCCTAAACCGAGAAGAATTTCATAAAGCTCTAGAAAACCAATTTTGGGAGCTAAATAATAATCAGGATTTTTTTTTCCCTTTCTCACTTAATACAAACAAACAAAACCCCTGCATTGCAGCAATTGCTGAATCGCCTGTAACACAGTCCTGGTGATTAATCACTCCTCTGGTGAAACAGTGAGCAACTGGAACAGAGAAGGACATTTTTTTTGTTAGACTAAATTTCACTTTTGCTTTGTTGTTTCACTTCATTTACAGCTCGAAACATTTCCCGATGGCATCTCTGTGAGCCTGGTGCTGGGAGGACGGCTCCGCTCCGGGAGGCGACGGAGTTCCCGGAGGTGCTGGCACCGCTGGAGATACATCCCTGCCGTCACCTCCTGCCTGGGCCTGGGGGGTCTCTGGGTTTTTCCTGCTTTTTGCCACATGCCGTTAGATTTGCAGAGCGTTTGCCGTACGTGGTTATCGCAGATCTCTGCGTCTTGCAATCAGCTGCCTGGGGAACCCATCTGGACAGTCTTTAGCGATGGAATTAGTGGTGCCTTTTGTATCTGCTCATCTAACATGCAGTCTTTTTTTTTATTTTTAGGTGTGGTTTTTTTTTTTTAAGTAATTACTGTTTTCATTGTTTTCAGCACAATTCTAGTACTGTGAAGAAGATGATCCAGGGGCCAGAGCATTGTCCCTCCTGTACCCCATAACCATGGTTTTTGTTGTGGGCTTCTCCCCCCCCACCCCCAGCCACAGAGTTGGCATTTTTCTTTTTTGGTCTGGCAGCCCCATCTCGGCAGCATCAGCTCTGCCTGTCCATCAGCACGGATAAGCAAGAGTCCGGTGGGGGAAAAAAGTAAATCGTGATCCTGTCATTCAGGCCTGCAGTAGACTCTGGAAGTGTAAGGGAGCTGAACCGGGATTACCAGCGTAACGTGTTTCCTAACCTTGGTTGCTGTGCCTTTGCGAGCTAGATAGAAAAGTGTTTTCCCATTGTTTGGTGGTTATTATTTTCTAGTGGTTTATTAGACTATGATGGGGACTCAGGCCAGAGGGAAGAACGCTGGGGAGGCTCGTGTTGCTTCTGCTCATCCTTTGCCATATTTGACAAAAAACGTGGGGTGCCAGGATGCTGTTTGACCACAAACACACACGTGCTCTGCCAGTGCTGGTGAACTCCCCATGGGGAGCTCATGGAGAGGGGGGAGAGATGCTGTTAGATCTCTGTTGACTTGCAGATAGAGGGGGAAAAAATCTTTTCAACGTTGAGCAGGGTAAGTCTGATGCAGGATTAAAGACTTACTGATGTTGAGGTCTTGTGTTACGATATTTATAGACTCTATAACTGAATAAACAAAGCAGATCTTCAGCCACGCTCAGGAAACTTGTACTTTTGCCGTCCCGTTCCCAGCGAGGCCATTGCTGTACTGGTGTGGCAGAGGCCTGAAGAGGAGCTTATGGGCATGAAAGCGTTTTTTCCCACCGCGTCGGCTGGTTTGATAGATGTTGCCTCTCCCTCCAAACCCTGCGTTGTGACTGTGATTTCACTTTCCTCCAAAGCAGTTGGTTTTCTTCTGGGACTCCGATGACGGTTGCTGTCTCTCCTTGCTGCTGCGGCTGTTTTTGCTGCGCAGGGACCCCCGGCGCGGAGCTGTGACTCTGGGGAACGCAGTTCGCTACTGCAGCAGGAGATCAGGTTTGCAATGTCTCATTCACTTCTCTGTTTCTCTCTTTCCTTTTCTTCCTTTCCCTGCAGAACACAAGTGCCCGGTGGACCAGAGGGAGCAGTTAGAAGAAACCCTGCCTCTGATTTTGGGCCTGGTACTGGGGTTGGTTATCGTGATAACCCTCTGTGTTTACCATATCCACCACAAGCTGACAGCCAACCAAGTGCAAATTCCTCGGGACAGATCTCAGTACAAACACATGGGATAGGGGACAGGATCGAGCAGCCCAAATATTTATCAGGTAGAAAAAGCAAAAGCACTTTTTTCGAAGGGTGAGGAAAGGTTATGGGGGGGCGAGAGACGGTATTCACACCACCTAATGGCGGGTATTTCATGGAGACACACAAATTTAAGGTTAGGCTTTAACGTAGTCGGTGCAGAGACATAGCTGTCTCTGTAAGAAGACTCAGAGCATCTGATTTTAGGAGTCTGTCTGTGGCAGTAGGTGATATGAATATCATCTTAAGCAGCTGGACCGATTGTTTGGAAACAGAAATGCTTCACATGTCAAAGTCTAACACTGGGGGCAAAATGAGCTTTTGTCTCCCCCCCCCCCCCCTTTTTAAATTCTTCCTCTTTTTTTCCTCCCCCTGAGGGACTCATACCTCCCCGGTGCGCTGCGCTTGGCAGCGTTCAGCCCTCTCCGTTCACGTCTGTGCAGGGAGCAGGGCTGGGGGACGGAGCCATCGGACAGAATTCATTAAGGTCCTCTAACGAAGGGACTCAAACCACATGCCTGAAGCTTGCACTCATGTTAAGGAAAGCATGAAGGCAATACAGGTGTGTTTCAAAAAATAATAATAATAATAATAAAAAAAAAAGGCCAGAACCTCAAGCTGGTATAAACTGGAGTAACTCCAGCGCAGCAGTTTGCAGCCAGCTGAGGAGCTGACCCCACACTTGAGGCTGAGCGAGGAAAGTTTGTTTTTGCTTCTTGAGCCACATCTGAATTAAACTTAAAAAATAAATAAAAAAAAAAAAAAGAGTATTGATACGCAAATTATAAAGTGCCATGCTACTGCAAGTCAACTGAGAAATGCTTCTGGCTGGACATCCTGCACGTATTGTGATTGTTGTTGAGATGTTACATTGCTACCTGCAACTGGTATTTTCACAATGAAACAAAAAAAAAAGAAAACAGGAATGTTAAAGTTACTATGCAGATTATTCAGGTGTAATCTAATGTAACAGAAAAAACCATAAGGAAACCCTTGAAATCTATCCTTAAATGTAGACCATTTTTAAAATTAATTAAAACATGTACATATATAATACATGATTTGCCTTCTTATTTTGAAATGATACAATGCTTTTTACTAATTCCATGGTATCTAATGGAATCGGTGCAAAAATACATAGTCTGGATGGATGTGAAATGTAGGATTTATTCTAGCAGTATTTTGGTGCAGATGGTTTGGTGAAGGCATGGTGGTGGCTCAGTATTCTGTGCTTTGTCGGCTATTTCTAATATTCTTCAAATCTCTTGGCTGTTTCTTATGTGTTTTATGGGCAATGGCGCGTTTCACTCTGGTCCCGTCCAGTTCCCACTGAAAGCTTTGACTTCCCTTGGCTCCGGTGTTACCGCAGCAAGAGTTAGTCCAGACCTTGTGTTAGTTTAGGGTATGGAAATTACTTTGAAATGTAATTTGATTTGATTTGATCCAAACAGGGACTCATACAAACTGTCCCCCTTTGGTTTAAAACAGGGTAATAGGCCAAGAAAAACAGTAATTTCAATGCTGAGAAGTGGAAGAGGAGAAACTTAACTGCTTTTTAATGCTGCAGCCTCCTCCAAAATTCATGAGGTTTTTTTGTCGAAGGTGAAAACAAAGGTGGATGCAGCAAGAGCCTTCCTTTAGTCCTGTCTTATTCCTGGTCTCATTTCTATGTTATGCTCGCCTTTTTGTTTTCTTATTTGGATGTAAGAAGCAAAATTATGGCGCTAATGATGCTTGTGGCTTTGCCCTTTTCTTTTAAAACTCTAGTGAAAGTGTCCTGGGCGGGCTTTAGGTTGACCAAGTGCCACTGCCTACAATGAGCTGATTATTATTTAAAAAAAAAAAAAAAAAAGATGAAAAGGTTCTTTTAGAGACAGCCAGAAAAAGCCATAAGTAGCGGGAGGGTGAATAAAAGGATTAAAGGCTCATCCTTAATAGAGAGGGGCCATAGTTATCAGCTTTGTCCTGCCTCGCTCTTGTCTGCCCCCCAGCCAGAAAGGCTCTCCCAGCCAGCTCCCATCAGCCTGGAGCATCTGCCTCCGTATTTGACATCCCAAAAAATAAAATAAAATGAAAAAGGAAGCAAACAGCTGAACTACAGATGCCAAAGGAGCCCCTCCGTTGTCATTTGTCTTCTTCACAGCATGTTTTGGCAAGGTGGCTGCAGGAATAAGCCGTTGGGATGGCGTGGTTGTGCGGATGAGCAGTGGTGGGGCAGGACACGGTAGCGGGATGGGGATGGAAACTGCACCAAACTGGAGTCATCCCGGTCAATAGGAGGCGGGTCCCCACCCGGCCGGTTTCCTCCCAGTGAGCTGCAGGTCTTTGGTGTCAGTAGGTGCAATTTCTGCTGGTTCAGTTGAGTATAATCAGAGGTATAAAAGAGTTGGGACATTGTCTGTGAAAAATGGGGGAAGAGAAGGACTTTGTGGCTGGAAACAAGGAAGAGGATCCTGTTTTTCCTTTGTGCCATCTGTTTCTCTAGGAGACCCCATTAGGGCTTTTTTTCCCCCTCCCTCTTTTCACATTCATCACCACCCATCCCTCTTTTTTTTGTTGGGTTTTTTTTTTTCCTTTCTTGCAAAACTTGAGTTAGTTGCGTATCCATTTGGATATCAAAATTTTAAATGCGTGACATAAGAAAAGAGCTACTTCCCTTCCACTTGCCTTTGCTTTACAGAGATAAGGAAATGCACATCGCAGCATTTTTATAAATGTTTTTGGTTTCTGATCCCCCGCAAATTTTTAACCCAATGAAGGGATGACCGTACCAGTAGCGGACTTGCATGTCTCAGCTACTTTCCGTGACCCCTGAGTGCATCCAGCCTTGCGTTGAGGCCAATGCATAGCTGGTTGGCAGAAGGCAGGGTAGCTGCAAAGTATTCCAAAAAACGCAACCAAGCAAAGTCTTTATGCTCCTTCCTTTTGGCCTCCTGCTTTTCCTTCGTGCGATGGCTCCTCGCACAAGCCATCGGTGGCAATCCCATTTGCGCTATAGTTTCTTACATCCCGCAGAAATCACACTTATTTTGCAGAGCGGGTTTAGAGGCAGGAAGGATCATCCATAGCTGGCGAGGGCTTGACAGATACTTCTGAAAACCAGAGCAGGAGGTGGGAAACCCACCGCTCTGCGCCCCTGCAGCGTTTGACGGGCTACATTTAACCTTTCTTAGCCTCCCTTGAAAGCTACAGGTCAGGCTTTACGTGGAGCTGTTTGAAGGCCACAAAACCCGTGGCTTGGCTTAGCTGCTTTAGCGTCACTCTTAGGAGAGGCAGTGGGAGGTGGATGGAGCTGCTGACTGAACGTCCCTCCAGGCTGTTTTTTGGAGCAGCTGGAGTTTGTTGCGTCTTGCTCAAGTAAAGCCGCTGGTGGGTTTTGGCCCCTTGTAGGTTACGTTGTTGCTTCCCCATTTTCAGAAAGCAAGCAAGAACCGCCTGTTGTAACAGAGAGACTCTCTCAAACATCTACATGTATTTGAGATGGAAAAAAAATACGCTAATTTATGGTTGACTTTGCAAACTACTTTTAATTCAACCTGCGGTGACCCCGTAAGGGCAGTCGTAGCAGAGCAGCCCAAGGAAAACATTGTCTTCACTGCTCGTAGGAAACTGTCCTTGACTGATCCCGCTGCTTGAGCATTGGCCAGTGCATTGAAGTGGTGGCATCGGCCATCTGAGGAGAGGACAACCCCCAAAAGCTGATGCAGCTCTCGCAACCCTCTGCCCATATACCATACACCTGCTGCTTTTCGTGTGA